TCCCTTCTTTGATTTGAACGAAATTTCTGTGGCTAGGATTGAATAAAATAAACTGATGAAAGTTTTTACAAATTATCATCATGAATAGAGAAAAATTATCTTTTTCGATGACATGAATTCGTGAGTTTGTGTGAGAAATGTACGTTGATATCTTCTGAAGTTTCAAAGGGTGCTGATGAGACGTTGAAGATGAGTCAATTCAAAATGGACCATCGAAAAGTACAAAATAAGAATGGAATATTTTCGTAGAAGTTATATTTAATTTGCATACCCTCTCATATATTATCTCGTATAGCTTTCCTGTGCATAATATTGATTTTAATCCTATCACGAATCTATAGAAATCGTTTATCCTCACGGGAACAAAATACATTTGTTTGTTTGATTCAATTAGCATCGTCAGGAAATGATAAAAACTCAATTTCGATCCTCACCATTTCCTGATGATGTCAACTTGGTGGTGAAAATGCGCGTCGAGAGACCGATCTTTTGTTCTGATGAGGAGAAATTATTTTCAATAAATTAATTTCACGCCAGAGGTTCTGAATTCTACGTGATAGTGGAGATCCACTATCAGCTGCGTTGAAAATCGTCCACTCTTTTTTCAACATCATTTAATGCAGGTTAATGCAGTCAAGCTGCTGGAAAATAATTCCATGAAAATCAAAATATAAATAGATAAATACTATTTTAGAATTTTTCTCAAATTAATTTCAGAAGTTTTATTGACTCGATCCTAACTTTCATCAGTAGAAATCATGGCTTTATCATCGGCATTACACATTATATGACCGTAGAATTTATTAATCTGCGTTATTGCGTTTATATAAGCAAGAAAAATGATCGGGCCAAGTACTGTTCCCTGAGATATACCCACATTGATTTGTAATGTTGCATGACCTTGCTACCAATTCCAATAATCAGTGTTCGTTCTTTTAAATAATCCTGAATCATTTCCAAAGCATGGCCTCCAATTCCATAATCACACAACTTTTCGAGTAGGATTCCATGCGAAACAGTATCGAAAGCCTTTGCCAAGTTCATAAATACCGTGACACATTTCAAAGACTCGTCCAAGGCCACAACTGTTTGTTGTGTTATGACATGATGTTTACTGAAACATTTTTTAATCGATTGACAGACATATTTGAATCTGTTTTTCTGTTAACCAGCTGTCGCATCGCTACGAACAACAACCTTCATGAGTCGAAACTACTGCGAGCTAAGGACTAACGTGGTCTAACCTTTTAACGCGTGATTCCCAATACGGGTTGGACAATAGCAAGTGAAAATCGACCGTTCAGCCTGGGGCTTTTTTATATTTGTGAAAATATAGTGAAACTCTGGGAACTCAATAACTTTGACAACCTGATTAAATTTCCATAAAAACAACTGAACTACATCTATTGGTTTTTGTATTTCATGCATATTTCGTACAAATTTACCATAATTTACTGCTCCAAGATATGAACGTAGTGTAGGAATATCATGTGGTGGAAGCATATGAATTACTGCTTCAATCCTCGCTGGATCAGGTTTAATACCAATGTATGCTGCTGTATTTTCTAATCCTGATATCATAGTTTCCATGATTTGTTGAAATATTGTGGGAGCAACTTTCATTCCAAACGGAAGTCGATTGTACGTGAAAAGACCTTTATGAGTATTAATTTTCAGGAATTATCTTGAATTTTCATGAACCTCGACTGAAGAAGTGCATTTGATAAGTTTATTACGCTGAATATTTTAGAATTCCCCAGTCTCGAAAAAATGTCTTCTGTAGTTGGAAGTGGATAATGATGAGATAAAAGAGAAGCGTTCAATCCTGTTGGATAATCCCCACAAATACGAATATTTCGATCAAATTTTTTCGTGACTACAATAGGTGCTGCCCATTCAGAGTAATTAACTGGAGTGATGATATTAAGCTTCTGCAGTCTATTTAACTCTTCTTCGACTAAATGTAACGATGCATATGCTACTGGTCGTTTTGGACGAAATATTGATTTGCTTCCTACTGATATGTGTAATTCTACCCTTCCTTTTGTATAAAGTCCGAGAGTGTCAATGAATACGTCAGGAAACTGCTTCTAAAGCTGTTGGACATCCTGTACATTTTCCTGAGGAATGTCATTATTTGACAGTGACATGACAGTACAAATAGAATTGAGTGGGATGTCCCAGATACCAAACTTTGTTATCCAGACAATCCCTAGTAAATTGAGGTTTTTTATTGTAGTAACGTAGCACTTCCCTGAGTACGACTTATTACTAAACACAATATCACATTGGAACACGGAGAACAGATTAAGTTGGTGACCACTGGCACTTTTGACAATGTTTTCAGTTGAACTACATTGTGGTTTTCCTAATTTGGACCATGTTTCCTCCAATATGATGGTGATATCTCATGCTGTATCTATTTGAATGTTCACTGGAATACCATTAATGACAACTTGAAGGTATTTACGTTCCGCTAACAAATTCACTTGAGAAACTAAATTATTTTCAGTTTGAAACTTGTTTCTCCTTCTTTGTGCCCTGTCTTTTTACAGTCATTACAAGTGTAATTGCGAAAATTGCAGTTTTTTGAATAATGCATTTGACCACAGTACCAGCATGGTGTTTTTGGTGAATTCCCATTCATGTGTGAAATGGATTGAGAATTCTGACTTCTCTTCGTTGATGGATACTTATTTTTCTGGGAAACTGCATTAACGACTGGAGTTGTAGATTGCTCTATCATCGCTGTATCGTTCTTAAGATTCAGTATACGTTGACATTCGGAAGTAAGATCTTGAAGTAATAAATATTCTGAATCTTTTCCATCAATTTCAGATAGGAGTTTGATTCTGATAGGTATCTGAATCATTACCAGATTGAAGACCACATACGAATATCAAACATTTGAATTGATCTGCTGTGATGTTTCAGATGTCAAAATCTTCACAAAATGTATTGACTTTGGATGCATATGCGACGAAATCTTCTCCAGTATTTTTGATGAGTTTCATACAATGATAACGAGTGTTGAAAATTGATGACTTTTTACCAAATAATTCAGTGAGTTTAGACACTGTGTCTTTGAAATTGATTGATTTCGGTTCTTTCGGCAGAATGAGATTGACGTACTGCTGATGAACATGTGTGTCTAACTTTCTTAGAAGTAATCTGACTTTGGCTGAGTCTGAGAGATTCTGAGCATCTTCAGTGAATAAACTTTTATATCGCTTGTACCATGCTTCAAATGTGGAATTGCTCTCTGGATCGTAGTGGAATTCAGTTATGCTGTTGCCTAAAGTTTCCATGTGGAATTCTTCACCGACGTCTCTGGCTGGAACATTTGCTGATGAGAAGTTCTGAGACATTCGTAAAAGGAAATCTTCTTACTGATTGATTAGCTGCTGCTGCTAAAGTTGAACCTGGGTTTGTTGAGTTTTTATAAATTCAAGAATGGTTTTCTGAAACTGATCAGTCATGATGGTTTTTACTTTGATTGGTTTTTATCAAAAATCCTCGTCGCCACTTTTATTTTTGTGAAAATATAGTGAAACTCTGGAAACTCAATGACTTTGACAACTTCATTAAATTCCCATAAGAACAACTGACTCTTTTAAACTAACAACAAAATATGTCATATTCAGTCTCCTCTGGTCTACGGAACAAAAGAAAACAACTCGTTAGTTTTCAGGGCTGCCAACAGGCTTGAACCGGCGACCAACACGACGGTCGTTTTGAGTAAGTGAACAAAGCACCCACGTCGAATCGACCGGCTACCGTCTGGCTACCGGCTACCGTATCTTTCGAATAGTTTTGCAGAATTATTGATGACAGAAATTGGTCGTTAATTGCACATATCATTGTAACTTCCAGATTCATAGACTGGAGTTACTCTACTAATTCTACTAACTTCACACTTTCCACAGATTTTCACTATCTGTTTTTGTTTCCAGGAACTTTATCCGCTATATCTGATGGAATGCAATACAGTTGGAGTGCACCAACTTTACCAATTCTCCTCAGTGAAAATGCTCCCATAGAAGTTACCACGAACCAAGCTGAATGGTTGGAGTCCATCCTTATGATTGGAGCTTGCTTTGGACTTCCGATTACTATGTTCCTTGTAGACAGTATTGGAAGAAAAAAATCACTGATAACTTCCGCGACAACAACTATGTTAGCATGGATTGTGATCGCTGTAGCACCGAGAGTGGAGTACATATTTGTGGCAAGATTTTTTGCAGGAATGGCTGGTGATATGGCATTTGTAGCAGCGCCTATGTATATAGCAGAAATAGCAGATCAGAAAATCAGAGGATTTTTGTCCAGTCTAATCTATATCATGATGTTGACTGGTGTATTAACAATGTACTGTGTGGCGCCGTTCGTTCCGCTTTGGGGCCCCTGTCTATTAGGAATCGTTATCAATTGTATATCACTAATTGTATTTCCTTTCCAGCCAGATTCACCGTATTATCTCCTATACAAAAATGAACCTGAAAAAGCTAAAGCCGCACTTCGGAAATTACGGTCCACGGACAATGTGCAAGAAGAATTCATAAATATATCTGTGGCAATAGAAAGACAAAAAGGAGAGAAAGGGAGGTTCATGGATCTGTTTCTGATATCAAGTAATCGTAAAGCACTGGTGATAATGGTGATACTCAACAGTTCACAACATTTGAGTAGTATCAGCGTTATGTTGATGAATTTACATTCTATTTTGGAAGAAGCTGGATCTTTCTACGTAGCAGCTTCTACAGGAGCCATAATTTTCTCAGCAACTATGATTGTTTCCGCCATGTCTGCTTCTCTGGCTATTGATAATTTTGGGAGGAAGGTATTATTATGTTGTTCAGGAGTTGTAGCTGGACTTTCATTGATGGTTATGGCGGTTTACTTCACGTTGAAAAATAATGGAGTCGATGTTTTGAAAGCTAGCTGGTTACCTTTAGTTATGATTATATTATATGCTGCATCATTCAAATTCGGTATTGGTTTGGTTCCAGTTGTACTCACAGCTGAATTATTCCCAGCCAAAGTGAAAGCTTTTGGCATGACTATCTCAGACTTGAGTTACGTGGGATTTTCGGTGATAACTATAGAGATTTATCATTCTTTGAGACATGCATTTGGGATTCAAGTTCCATTTTATGTATTCTCTGTTTCTTGCTTCCTCACTGTTCTGTTTACAATCCTCTATATTCCAGAGACGAAGGGTAAAACTTTAGAAGAAATTCAGATGATTTTGAAGAAAACCAACTCAACTGTCACTGAAAATTCAAAAATAACACAGTTCGATAGTACACATTCGCAGGTCTACAGAAACGAGGGATTTGTAGAGTGCTGAGGATGATTTTTAGAAATTCCAAATTCATATGGAGAACTCATGAAGTTTGTTTGATTGAATGGTAGAAATAAGGTTTCTTGAAGTTTGCGTAATTGATGACTTGTTCAAAAATATTCTTTCGTTGAATGCAACTATATATTATATAGTTGTTTCGTTGTTCTTGGGTTTTGTATTCTCTTGGAAAAAGTTTATTGTTTATTTGTTTATTTGAAACATTTTTTATAGCACATTAGATATTTGACTGGTTTCCTGAAATGAAAAAACAATTTTTGTATTACTGTTGTTTTTCTTTTGAATTGATACATTCGTTGAATGTTTATAATTTTTTGTTTTGTACGTACCTTGCTTAAAATTATTGATAACTTTCCAAAATGTAAATAATTTCGAAGTGCTGTTGTTTTTCTTATTTGATAGTGATTGCTAGTAAAGGTTCATGTCATGTTTTCCTATGTTTTTGATGTTTATTTTTTGAGGATCGGACTGAGCGTCGTTGTCTCAAAAATGGCAGGTGGAGGGATCTTCTGTGTGGGTCGTTTCGGTGATTGAAGGAGATGAGGACGGAAATGACGTGTTCATGTGTTGGGATTTGATTTGTTCAAATAATGCTGTTGTTCTTCTTATTTGATAGTGATTGCTAGTAAAGGTTCATGTCATGTTTTCCTATGTTTTTGATGTTTATTTTTTGAGGATCGAACTGAGCGTCTTGGTCTCAAAAATGGCAGGTGGAGGGATCTTCTCTGTGGGTCGTTTCGGTGATTGAAGGAGATGAGGACGTAAATGACGTGTTCATGTGTTGGGATTTGATTTGTTCAAATATTAGTTTGTGCGCGCATGTGTATTTGATTTTCTTTCTACTGTGTATTGGGTTTTGTTTAGGGGAGATGAGAAGATCGGAACCTTTACTAGCAATCACTATCAAATAAGAAGAACAATAGCACTTCATCATTATTTACATTTTGAAAAGTTATCAATAATTTTAAGCAAGGTACGTACAAAACAAAAAA